AGCCTTCTGGGTCCTTGTTATATATCTGGGGCAAATGTGGGCATCATAGCTGCAGTTTAAATGCATCCCTCACTGGCTCTGTTTATGCCACAACTCCTCATGCAGTTGAAAGTGTTTTATAGTTTTACTTATTTGTATGTAACTCAATTTTGATCCTGTCTCAAGTAAAACTTTTCTTTATGTTGAATCAGCATCATCAAGATCCAATGAGGAAAATAAAATCCATGCTAAGTAGTTTGATTGATGAAATTTAAATACATGTAAATACCGAAGTGTTGGAAGAACTCAATTTAAGTGCTAATAGGGTTACACAGAAAGTAATAACTACCAGATACTACTGCCACCCACGGGACCTGAGGGACAAGGAAGGGATGATGTTATCAGTGTAGGAATCAGTGTAGTTACCCTGTGGGAGCTACAGCCTTGGAAAAGGTTCCAAAAGGAGCTAGAAGTATGGTGGGGCTCTCCTGGTGAGAACTGAGGCACAGAGAGTGGAGCTTTCTGGCAGGAACTGGAAACACAGTAGAAACAGCCTCTGCTTGATAAGATTCCCAAAACAGAAAGAAACACCCTGGGTTCTTCCCCTCCCAAACTCGCATTGCTTGCCAGGAACTCCCATTGGCTGAACCTAACCAGAAGTCAATGGGAAAGGGATTCTGGGGAATGCAAGATAGCTCCTTGGGATTCAAAGCTGGTAAGGACAACGAAAGAATCTAAGAGAAAACAGGCAAATGACTTATATAAGAATAGGAAGAGGAGATACAAGTAACCAGTAAACATAGGAAAATATGCTCAACCTCATTATAACCAGGGAAATGCAATTTTATACCATAATCAGATACCACTTTACCTCTTACCAAAATGTTTAGATGCCAAATGTTGGTGAAGATATGCAGGGTAGTAATGCTGGTGCACACGTATGGGAGTGTAACTTGGAAAACACGTGGGTGTCATCTAATAATGATGATACTAAATATATTCTGTGCTCCAGAAATTCCAGTTCTAGGAGAATTTCTGATAGTTGCTCAGAAAACTGTAACAATGTGCAACAGGAGAAGGCACAAAAAAAATGTTCATAGTTGCACTGTGACAGACAGTAAACTACCTAAATGGAAACTACTCAGTTAGAAACTACTCAGATATATACCAACAAGGGAATATGCAAAGTGAGTTTTATTCTTATAATGGACACTACATAAAAATGAATGAACTATAGCTATACACACCAACACAAATATATGTCACAGACATAACTTTGAACCACAAAGGCAAGTAGAAAAAAAGCCAACCTTGACATTATTCGATTTACATAAAATTAAAAACCATGCAAAACTATTTACACTATTTAAGGAAAGAATTATGTGTGGGGGCCGGCACCGTGGCTCAATAGGCTAATCCTCCACCTAGCGGCGCCAGCACACCGGGTTCTAGTCCCTGTTGGGGCGCCGGATTCTTTCCCAGTTGCCCCTCTTCCAGGCCAGCTCTCTGCTGTGGCCAGGGAAGGCAGTGGAGGATGGCCCAAGTCCTTGGGCCCTGCACCCCATGGGAGACCAGGAGAAGCACCTGGCTCCTGCCTTCAGGTCAGCGCGGTACGCTGGCCACAGCACGCCAGCCATGGCAGCCATTGGAGGGTGAACCAACGGCAAAAGGAAGACCTTTCTCTCTGTCTCTCTCTCTCACTATCCACCACTCTGCCTGTCCAAAAAAAAAAAAAAAAGAATTATATGTGGGAAAACTGAAAAGAAAGGAATGATAAATAATTCAGAAGAGTGGTCCCCTCTGTGTGGGAGTAAACTGGATACAATTAGGAAAAAACCCACAAGCATAGCTACTCTCTTTTTTTTTTTTTTTTTTTTAGGTACGGCATATTTTCAGATTAAAACCATGATTTCCAAAACTTCAAAAGCTTCCCTATCTTCCAAAAGTTTAATTGGGAAGACAATACTATCAACAGTCATGCAGTTCTAAATTTCCACCATGGCACTATCTTCACTTGCAACCATTAAGCTTACCTAATTAATCCTGGTTCTTAGTTTCCAAAACTGAACAAATAAGGATAAAAGCGCTACTTGGTTCAAGGATGATTACTAAGCAATAGAAAATGCTTAGCAGTGGGTGCCAGGTATCTAATATTTAGTTCACACTATCACCTCACTTTGAAGTGTCCCTCTCACCACCATTGTCTATTGAATGTCACTGATTCAGGGACATTCTGCCCAGTGCCTAAAGACTCTCCCTTCCTCACAAGCAAATTTCCCCCTCTTTTTAATGTGCAGGCCTCCTGTTACTTGCACCATTTATGAGGCATCTACCATCTACTTATTTATTCATTTGTCTAGTGAATCACATGCAGGTACTGGAAACACAGAAGTGAATAAAGCAGACATAGTAATTGCTTTCATGGAGTCTGCATTCTAATGAGGAAGACAGACAAATGAGCGCTAAGCACATAATTATTTCACCCAGCTGTGCATGGTACAATCAGGGAAATGTGTGGGATGCTTGAGAATCTGTCCATATAAAGGAAGCTCACCTAGACTGTAAAGAAAGATGATTTCTCTGAGAAAGTGACATTCAAGGTGAGACCTGGAGGATACACTACTTTCTAATGTCACTATAGACAATAAATACAGATGGAGGGTCTATAACCTAGATGGAGCATCAGGGCACCTGTCCTTAAAGAAAGACTATCAGTAGGAGGTAATACTTGGAAATGCCAAGTGAAGATAATATGCAAGATTATACAGGTGTTTGGAGAATGGTTAATCCTCACAGCTAGGGCCCTTCAGAGAAACGTTTTCTGTAAAATGTGAGAGTTCAGCAGAAACAGTAAGGAAGGATAGAGCTAAGACAAGGGAAGGGATAACAAATATTCAGGATATAAATATATAGGCAGAGACAGGAAAAAGCAAAGTTCAGACAGATTGCTTTAACCCAGGAGTCATGTGGGAAGGAATTTAACCAGGTTATGGAGGACAAAGGTTCAAGGAAGGCAGCTCCTCAACTGGTCCTTGTAGGGATTTAATCACGTACATCTGGTGGGAGACAGTGACAGAACAGAGGCCGGACAATGCAAGACAGGGCCAGAAGACAGCCAAGAGTCCAACGTGGCACGCTGTGGGGTGGGCAGGGGACAGACTGATTGATTTTGGTGAGGGCGTAAGTACAAATGATAGCATTTATTTTTGATAGAGTTTTCTTTTTGTATCATGGACTTCTTTGAGCCTCTCATGAAAGCATCGAACTCTTCCCCCTCAGAAAGCTGCATACAATTTATAAAGTTGCATGAAATTTCAGTGATTCACAATACCTCTGAACACTCAACCAGGAAACCTTGCTACAATCAAGAGCACTAAAAGGACTTGAATAGAATGGTGATGTGTTCCAAAGTATCTAGAATATCTTCCTGAGAGGATCGTAATTGTTGGCAGTGAGGTCAGTTGAGAAATTATTGCAATAGGGCCTAATGCAAGCAGGAGCTCATATGATCCTAGGATATGGTGGTAACTGTAAGAATTCAGTCATTAATTAAACCAACATTTACTTAGAGTTTAGTCTGGGACAGGCCCTCTGCTCAGGACTGGAGACATGACAGCAAACAAGACCAGACCACCTCCCTCAAGGACCTCCAAGCTGGCCAGGATCAGAAGGAAAGGCAGGGAGCTACAGATGCAGTGGGCATCAGATCACTGGTAGGCTCTTACTTGGGGAACATCAAAGTCTTCAATATCACAGTTAAGGTCCTTCAAAACAGCCACCTGTCATTTTTTGCTGTCATTTCCTCTTAGGCCTCAATACAATCTCTCCCTCCCTCTCTCTCTCCCTGTACTGTGCTGTCTTCTGCCCTTGTCTTGCATTTTCCTGCCTCTGACCTGTCACTATTTCTCCCACCAGCTGTACCTTCAAGGCCCAGTTGAGATGTTTGCCTTCCTTGAACATGTGTCTGCTCTCCCATTTACTCTGCTCCGTGTTACTCTGTGTGCTTCAGCCTCCCCCAGCACCCACTAAACCCCAGCACCCACTAAACTTTGTTACTCTATTTCATGAGGTATCTAGTTCCTGTGATGGTGAATCTACTGAACTGTAAGGCTAGAGCCCAGGACAGCACAGAGCCAGGGTGGGTTTGGGAGCCATCCACAGAACTCTGGAATCAGGTAAGACAAGTAGACCATCACACCCTCAAGGACACTCACTTCTGGGGAACAGGGCTGGGGCCACCTCTACTATACATGATCCACTCAGAGACTGCAGGGTTTAAATATACAGGACAGTCACCTCCAGGCAAATTAGGTCATTAGGCATTCGGAGCATTTACAAGGATAGCATGTCCGCAAAGGAGATGTGGGACTTGCACCTTCTGGTTCTGGTTGTAGACTTCTACATTTCTCCTGGACGGAATAATATGTTATACTGTTAAGCAAAGCGCTTACTTAAGTGGTTATAAAAATGAATCATCCTTGCAAGTGTTACAGCGCCGCTAAGATAACTCTTAGTTTTAATTCTTCACAATCGCAGGTCAAACAGGAAGGTACCAATATCTCACCTGTATTTGCGCTATCAAAATACTCCAGACGTCGCCCATGACGACTGAACACTTTGCCTTGGCTGCAGCCGCCACAGGCCTGGCGTGCATTTCCTCGTCTGCGGAAGGAGGTGATATGGCGACCTTTCCAGCCCGGCAGTGGAATGAAAAAGTCAGCCTGGCCTGCGGTGCCCTGGGCCGAGGGCAAGGTCCTAAACTGATGAACCCACCCACCTGGGTGGTGCCAAGTCCCCACAAGCTCCGAGTCTCCCCAGCTGTGCTGCTGAAGGGGTGAGGGCAGGTGTCACAGCCCCCTACCCCCGCCCCCGCCCAGTCCAGAGCCCTGGGCCGCTCTCTCCGGCGCCCTCGACGCCCACTACGCCCACTTCCCGCTCTCTCACGCGTCCACACTCGCAGGTGTCTGCCGCGTCCTCCCCCGCCCGCTCCCCAGGGCCGAGGAGACCGCGTTTGATTGGCCGAGGGCGGCAGGGGCGGTGCCTACGCCCCGTGAGGTCGGGGGCAAAGGCGCTGGCGCGGCAAGCCGGGCGCACCAGCAGCGGTGGGCTCAGCGTGCGCCCGAAGACCCGGTGGCACCGTCTGGGCTGGCTCAGGATGAGGACGCGCTGGGCGACCCCTCGCTGCGCTGCGGGGCTCCTCGCGCTGCTCCTCCCGTGCCTGGGGCTGGCGGAGCCCATTGGCCGCGCAGGTAACCGCGGGCGCGTCCGCCCGCCAGCCCGCTGAGGGGCCACGACGCTGGGGGCTACCTTTGCCGGGGTGGGGACTGCTGCTCTCTGTCGGGTCGCGGTCCGGGAGTCGGGAGCAGGACCTGGCACCGACGGGGAGGGTCTAGGCGGACCTTGGGTGTCTCCGCGGTGGAAAGGAGGGCGCGGCGGGGCGTGGGAGGGCAGGGCCTCTCTGGCGCTGAGGGGATGCAGAATGTCTCCCAAGTGTGTCCCTCGCCCCTCCCTCACAGTCTCTGAAAAGCTGCATGCCTGGAGGATGGAGTTCTCCATCTCCCTTCTACAATCCTGTCCGGCCCGTTCTCTCCCCCTTGGACCCCTTGGTCCTTCCACGTCCCGGGGCGCTTCCGCTCCTAGCGCCAAACGTTCCCAGTGATTCCCAGGCTTCACCGCGCCCATGGTGCGCGTCAAAAAAGTCAGGTTAAGCCATCTTCTCCGAAAGGGACCGCGACCAAGAACCAAGATCGGCTGTGACGCCCTCCCACACCACCCGGAAAAGCGACCCTTCTTTGTAATTGACTTTGCAGCGCCAAACGACACCCCCACCCCCACTCCCCGGCAGGCTGACAGCCTTATGCGGAAGCGCAGGTCGCTGACTCGGGGACCTGCAAGCCTCTCACCATGGAACCAGAGCCCGGACCGCACTTGACTAACGCGCAAGGCGGTGCCAACCCCGCCAGCCCCCTGTGCAGCCACCGCATCTTGCTTTTACTTTCTCTTTTTGCCTTGACACAAGATGTGCCAAGGACTTTGTTTCTTGGGCCACCTCCATTGACTGCTTCTCTTATCCTGCCCGTTATGAGGAAGGAACAGGTGGTGAGGGCCATGTCTGAAACACAGAAGTTGTTGGTGGCTCTTCTTTGCTGCCAGGCTGAGTGACTGTCTGGTTCAGATGTTTTTCAGAGAGTGATTGGGAAGAGGTTTTCCCAGAGTGTGAGTGGCACCATCCTACTTGTGTCAAGGACCTGTTCACGGATCTTGCTTTCACTCCCAGTTCTCCATTCTTCCTTGCCCCTCCGGGCTGGGAACTACCTAAAGAGCCAGTCCTAGTACAGTCCCTTATTGCTGTGAGAAGTCTATTCTGCCTCCCTGACAACCCAAGGAGAAAATTTCACGACAGCCCCTAACTATGGTGAACACACTAACCTTGAGATCACAAACCTCCTGGTTTATTCCTAAATCGACTTTAGTCCTATATGTTTATTCTCCTGCACAACATTTCATATTTCCTTAGTTCTGGAAGCCTCCACAGTCCCCATCCTTTCTCTGTCTTCCCCAGAGTACCAGGCTGAACTAAGCACCTAGCACTAGGGTCCCAAGGCTGTTTGTTATCCTACATCCTTCCTGACTGCTCTGGGCTGCTCTGGTCAGCTGCCTTACCCCAAACCAGACCAGACTTGTAGCCTTCCTGGGAGGAACACTGAATGGTGAGCACCCAGCCATTGGGGTCGCTTCTTTGGCAGTGCATCAGCTTCAAGATGCTGGTGATGGCATGCCCCGGGTCAGGTGTGCACAGCTAAGTTTGGTCCAAATGCTGAAGGAGCGCATCTGTGTCCCTGGAGAGATGCCATATTTACTTACTGAGTTTACATTTTTTGCCTGCTTTTAGAGTTAACAGTTTGAAATGAAACAATCTTTTAGGGATTCCTGAGGTTCTTAACAGCCCATACCAGTCAATCTGTGCTGCGTGATTTTCTGATTCCAAGACGACCACCATGAACCCAAACATTACTCCAGAACCTGTTTTTGAACCAGGAAACCCAGACTTGATTCTCACCTGCTGCACCTGTGCACTCTGCACAAAGGGCTTGACAGTGTGAGCTGTGGACATTTCTCTGAAACTACAATTGCTGCAGTATTCATCGCTCCTGGCTTCCCAAGCCATTTCCTTCTTCACTGGTGTGTGGTTAGCTCTTTGGTATAGGATTCATAAGACAGGAGTTATTTAAGTAGTCATAATATGCAAACACTGGGAGGTAGTTTTCCTTCAACAGATGTAAAAATACTAAAAATTCAATTTATGATAATGCTACTTAAGCCATTTTCTCTTAACTGCCACCTGAGTATTTGTATAAAATGAAGCATAGTGAAAATGCTTCTGGGGTAATGAGGCATCTTTTAATCTGCCTCTGCCTTTGAGATTTGTCCCAATATTGTATTTGGAGCATTAGAACTCCATAAACTTTCTAGAGGACTAGTGTGAAGTTATAAAGTGAACAGATGCAGTATGAAGTGATCAGTAAGCATCTATCTCTCCCTCTTTTTTTTTTTTTTTTTGCATTTCATAAATACAACTTTAAGAACCTAGTGACAGTGACTCTTCCCACCATACCCACCCTCCCACCCAGCCCCCTGTGAAGTCCCCCAGCCAGACTCAGGCATCTCCTTTCAGCTGGTTGCTGGGCGTGCAGGCACAAGCTGGCCCAGCTGTTGCATACGTCCAAAATGGCGCCCACCAGCTATCAGCTAGTTACAGGACACTGGTGCTGGGTGGTCAGGGAGGGAGAAGTGTGCCCTCTAGATTGGTAGGTAAACTGACCCCCACAGGGCTCCAAACCAGACTCACACCAAACTCTTCCCACAGCTTTATCACCAGTGGCATGGGCTGCTGCAATCTGGTCTCACCTTACTCTCCAAAGCTGGTGTGGAGGCTCTCAGCTTCTGGGGTCCTGAATTGTATATGTCCACACCCTCCACGTAGGTCCACAGTGTCCGTCTAATATGTGTGGAGTTTCTTCTGCCATTTTCTCCCTAACTTCATGGAGATTACTCTCTCTCCATGTTTGTTTGTCTTTTTTACTATCTTCCCCTAGACTAGAGCAGTAAGCTCCCTCCCTAATATGCCCCTCCACACATCTTAGAAATAGCTCTGTAATTACCTTTTCAAAGTTTAACACACCTCTAAGATAGTTTCTGCAACCTTTTGCAACAGATTTGGGAAGGAATTATTTTCACACTTTTTCAGTGCTGCTTCCCACCCTCCTGCCATCCCATAGGGTCATAAGGCTGAGGCCAATGGAACAGCACCTGCTAGGGGTAAAAAGGATGTGGGGAAACACCGTGAGAGGACAGGACTCTCCCTAGCTAATGTATTACATGTGAATGTTTATATATACATTGTATAGGGGAGGCCATAACAAGTTACCTGAAATAATTTTAATATCTGTGCTAAGTGACCACTGTAAATGTTAAACATTGATTTTGCATACTTGGTTCAAATACAAGTGTAATCTGAGGCAAGAACTACATTTACAGGTGTTGTAATTTGTTAAAAAGTTGGGCAACCCCTCTTTAGCATAGCTACTCTGTGCTACCCATACTTCCCCTATAGCCTTTCAGAGTTCCTGCAATACTATAAAGACCACAGGTGTTCCAGAAGCAAAGTGTGTATAGAAAGGAGGAGAGTACATTTTTCTCTTCCAAAGTGTGTTTATAAAGCAACACTGTCACTTCAGTGCACATGCCCAATACAAGTGAGATTAGAATAAACCTGAAATACCACCAGCAGAAGCATGACACAAAATTGTGGACATCTGTTCACGGTGAGCTTGCCAAAGTCTAGAATAACCTGAATGACTAAGGACACTGTTACCTTGTGGAAACACAGAATGTTAACCCTAAAAGTGCCTGAGGTATCTTTAATTCTGCTGCTTTCCTCTGTCATTTGGAGCTATGAAGACCCTGGGAGACCAAATAAATGACTTCTGCGAGTTCTCCCAGCTAACTGGGAACAGAGGCTGGTTTTCAGTATAGGACCTCCAACTGCTTGTCTCATTGCTCTTTTTGCACTATATGTGGTTGTAGTGCAAACTTTTTTCTGCTGTCGTTCCTGACACTTTAAAATACAAGGTCAATTTTGGAGAGGTGAGGCAGAATTGCTTGGAAGAGAGAGAGAGCAGGGGTGCGACTGGTTATTGACTATGTGGGAGAAGGACATTAGAGAAAGTGTGAGTGATCATCTCTCACTACATTTTCCTTCTTCTTGCGTAACCCTCCAAACTATGTCTGTCAAGAGGGGTGCAGGATGGAGGCTGCTATGGCGACATACAAAGCTGCACTCTGTGGATCTTCTGAAATTCAAATCTGAGCACAGAAATAAAGTGTTAAGGTGTTTTCTGTTGTTATTCCTGTTGATTTTCTTTTTGCTTCTGTTCTTTTAAACAAAAGCCAAAAAAAAAAAAATCCACCAAAGTTCAAGCTACAGTCAGAGTTAATTTTATAGTCATTATTTACATGGTAAAATTTCCCCTTAAGTTGCTGGCCTCTAGTATGAAAATTTTTAAAAACCCATGAATTATTACTAGAAAAAGTGTTCAGTGTTAGTAAAAGCAGTGATAGTAAATTGTCATCAAAATGAAACTGCCTTTTGGGAACCAAAATTTGTTGCGTCCTTCTGCTGAACTCCGCTTCACTGACATTGCTTAAGCTTGTCTAAAATATTTCAGCTTTCTTCTCATTAACATAATGATCTGTGCAATTAATGTTCCGATTTTTTTTCCTTTGTAAAAGAACTGACCAGATTGTTCAGTTATAGTTTGTTATAACAGATGTGAATCTTGTGTCACAAACTCAGGTGTGCAAGAAACAGTGCATTATTTTATTTTCAGAAAATCAAAAAAATCTGATTTTGAGTTCCCAGTCAGACTGACAAGACTTCAATTTCTGTTGTTATCTGGGTCTCCGCCAGCTCATGCAAAACCTCACAGGGACATTCGTGGCGATTTCCCTTCAGACGTCAACTCCCAGGGGTTACTTCTGAGTCCTGTCATTCAGATCTCTAGATCTTGACTCTGGAGGCTCATGCGATTCCAAGAGTTTAGGTGATCCATGCAGTCAGCCCCCCAAGCCTCTGACCTTCCTACAGGTAGTACTCTGGAGCTGGCCGCAGGTCCCCCATACTCTCAGAACCAGATACTGTTTCCGCTCGTTCCGTTACTCTTGTACCCTCTGAAAAGTCTCCGCATCTCCTGATATACCTCAGTGAATTCAGCCCTCCACAAAAGGTCCAAGGAGAGGTGGTCTACAAGCAGATTCTCCTTTTGCCTGGCCACGCTCACTTGCCTAGGGCCGAGGCACACAAACACGTGACTACATGCTTGGATCAGGAGAAAGGAACATACAGTGAGAACAAAGAATCAACTTCTCATTTAATGTACCTTCCTGCCACTGTAGCTAAAATGGAAGAATTGTACGAAGTAGGCACAGGACATTTTTCACTGACCATAGACCACCTGCCTAAGGAAGATGAAGACTAAGGAGCTTCTTTATCTTACTAAACAAGAGGGAAAAGATCTTCCATGCAATAGCAATAACACATACTGCTCTTTGCAGGTGCTTTGCAGGTGTTAGCTCATTCATGCTACATCCTCCATATGAAGTAATGAGAAAACTGAAGCCCAGCGGTTATGGGTTTTTCACCAAACACATGGCTATTAAGTAGCTGAGACAGAATGTGAGCCTAGGCACACTGGCTGCAGAGCCGATGCCCTTGACCCATACTAACGGCCTTTCCAGCCACTGCTACGCTCCTGCTTTGCACAGGACTTTACCAAAGTCTGAGGGTGGGAGCAGTCTGGTGGTATGCACCTACTCCTTAGCAAGCAGGGAGCAAGGCGCATTGGCCACGTAATTCAGAATCCTGAAATGTCTTTCCTTCACTGTCCGTCTTGACTCAGGTAATGAGCCATTCACCATTGTCAACGAAAACACAGGCAAGTGCCTCAAGGTACTGGATGACTGGATAGTAGCAAAAGATTGTAATGAAACCGAGGACGTGTTATGGAAGTGGGTGTCGCAGCATCGGCTCTTCCATTTGGAGTCCCAGAAGTGCCTTGGCCTAGATATCACCAAACCCACGTACTCTTTGAAAATGTTCAGCTGTGATTCCCAGGCCATGCTATGGTGGAAATGTGAGCACCGTCATCTGTACGGTGCTGCCCAGTACAGGTTGGCTGTGAAGGACGGATACGCCATAGCGAGCACAAACGTGTCCGATGTCTGGAAGAAGGGAGGCTCAGAGGAAGGCCTGTGTGACCAGCCTTACCGTGGTGAGTACTGGGGAGGGATTTTGACCTGTTTTTCATTGTGCCTATTAAATGTGACAGTAAATATGCACAGTTGCATAAAAATAAAACCAGAGCGGTAAGGCCAGCCAGAAAGCCATGCAGTTCCAGGCACTGTGCCGTGACTGTGAACCGCACACCTGTGAGGGCAGTCACGTCTGCCCCTCCTCCCGCCCTTTACAAGTAAGGCAGGGGGAGGTTAAGCGTCTTGTCTGGGGTCACACAGCAGTGAACTTAGCCTTTCAGATATTCTGGAATCTGAGCACATTTACCCCCTCCAGCAACACTCTGAACTCTGGAAGAAAGGAAAGTTACAGTAACAGGAAACTTACAGGCCAAAGGTCAAGAGGTCGAAAAAAATGGGTCTTAATTCTAAGTTAAAAAGAAGAAAGAAATGGGTATTTTTCCTTGTATACAATTTTGATATAATGAGAACATCTTAAGCGTCTCATGTGGGCTTGTTGTTTTCATTTTTGGCATGTTTATCACACATGAGGTTTCTGTTTATAATTCAACATTTTGAGGGTGGACTTATCAATTGCTTTCAAAAATAAGTGTATGAATATTGCCTTTAGAGGAGCAGACCATGAACGATACTCTGAATCAAGGGACTGGATTGTAATGAATTTCCATGTTTAAAAAGAATGAGTAGGCCAGCGCCACGCCTCACTAGGCTAATCCTCCGCCTGCGGCGCCAGCACCCCGGGTTCTAGTCCCGGTCGGGGGCCGGATTCAGTCCCGGTTGCTCCTCTTCCATTCCAGCTCTCTGCTGTGGCCAGGGAGTGCAGTGGAGGATGGCCCAGGTCCTTGGGCCCTGTACCCACATGGGAGACCAGGAGGAAGCACCTGGCTCCTGGCTTCAGCCTTAGTGGCCACTTAGGGAGTGAACCAACGGAAAAGGAAGACCTTTCTCTCTCTCTCACTGTCTAACTCTGCCTGTCAAAAAAAAAAAAAAAAAAAGTAGATTTATTTTTCAAACAGTAAATGTAATCAGCTGTCACCCCAGCAATCCTTTTGTTGTATGTCCTAAATTATACCAAGTGTTTATAGATCTTATTTAAGTACTATTATTTTGCCTTTTTAAAAAAGATTTATTTATTTGGGAGTCAGAGAGAGGGAGAGACAGAAACCTTCCATCTGTTGATTCACTCCCCAGATGGCCCCAACAGCCAGTCAGAAGCCAGGAGCTTCTTCTCGGTCTCCTTTGTGGACACAGGGGCCCAAGAACTTGGGCCATTTTTCACTGCCTTCCCAGGCACATTATCATGAAGCTGGATCGGAAGTGAAGTAGCCAGGACTCCAAACAGGCATCCTAGCACTACAGGTGGTGGCCAGCCCCCTTTACTTTCTTTTTAAAACTTATATTATTTTCTGAAGGTTGTCCTCCTCTTTTAAATCTATTTCAAGCTAATTTTAGCCTCAAATTCAGGATAGCTGCTTTACTTCCCACTATTTGCAGAGGTTTTCCTCCTAGTGAAAATGCACAAAATCTGAGAATGTCAAGATATACTGTTGCAGAGGCCAGTGCTGTGGCATAGTAGGTTAAGCCTCCCCCTGCAGCAACAGCATTCCCATATAGGCACTGGTTCAAGCCCCAACTGCTCCACTTTCAATCCAGCTGCCTGCTAATGGTCTGGGAAAACAATGAAAGACAGTCTAAGTGCTTGAGCCCCTGTACCCGTGTGGGAGATCTGGAAGAAACTCTGGCTCCTGGCTTCACATCAGCCATGCCATTTGAAGAGTGGACCAGCAAATGGAAGACCTCTCTCTCAAATAAATAAATATATAAACCTTTTAAAAATGTATTGTTGCAGACATATATTAGAGAATTGCAGGTGGGACTGACCTTTTCTTCAATCCCCTGCCTATCTGCAGTTCAATAAATCTGTCTCTGTTAGCCAGCTTCCCCCTAAATTTAAAGTGGTTGCTTAAACTTTAAACAATTGCTTTCTTTAAAAATAAAAGGAGGGGGAATGCGAGTGGCAGCGCTGTGGCGTAGCGGGTAAAGCTGCCGCCTGTAGTGCTGGCATCCCATATGGGCGCCAGTTCAAGTCCCAGCTGCTCTGCTTCCAATCCAGCTCTGCTATGGCCTGGGAAAGAAGTACAAGGTGGCCCAAGTCTTTGGGTCCCTGTACCCATGTAGGAGACCCGGAAGAAGCTCCTTGCTTCAGATTGGCACAGCTCTGGCCATTGCGGCCAACTGGGGAATGAGCCAGCAGATGGAAGATCTCTCCCTCTCTCTCTGCCTCTGCCTCTCCCTTTCAAATAAATAAATCTTTTTTAAAAATTATGTATTTGAAAGGTAATTAGAGAGTTTCAGAGAGGGAGGGAGGGAGGGAGAGAGAGAGAGATCTTCCATCTGCTGGTTCACTCCTGATATGACCTCAATGGCCAGAGCTGGGTCAATCCGTAGCCGAAGCAGAAACTTCTTCCCGGTTTCCCACCTGGGTGCAGGGACCCAAGCCCACTTGGGCCATGTCCCTCTGCTTTCTCAGGCACATTAGCAGGGAGTTGGATTGGAAGTGGAGCAATTGGAACTTGAAATGGCACCCATGTGGGATGCCAGCACCACATTTTACCCACTATGCCACAGCGCTGGCCCCAGCAATTGCTTTCTTGATACCACTTAATGATCTTTAAATTTTGTGCTACAAAACCTGTTTATAACATGGCAACCAAAAGAAAACATGGAACCAGAGAGAATGTCTTCCAAACTGGATTTAACTTGTTTCATTGTTTTTTTCAGAGACCTTCTTGACAGGATTGTCTCTGTCTCCCACCCCTAGTTCTTTTGAGGGATGTGGTTTATTATATTCTTAATCGCCTGTAGTTGGCAAAATGTCTTCATTTAATAAAATATTAAGTCCTGACAGTTCTACCTTATTAAATTGATGTATAGTCCTTCCTGTTCTTAGGGACTGCTGGCTAAAGTCAGGGACTTTCTCTTGGACTGCTCTGTCAGACTACTGATACTGGTCCCTACCCTCCTTTCTTATCTAGTTGTATATAGAGATAAGAAATATGAGATACCTGAATCCCAGCAAGTGAAGTCCAAGGTTACCCAGTTTATTCTGGCAAAGCAAGGGCTCAAAAATCAAGATTCCTTTCCCCAAAGATGGCTTTCTTTTCTCTCCCCTGATTTTTGCAACGTACAAAAAAATTTCTAATATATATGGACATTTATGAATCATTGAGTCTTAGTTGTGTCATCTTCACTTTAGAGAAAAACTTTTTTGGGGGCCAACACCATGGCTCACTTGATTAATCCTCTGCCTGCGGTGCCGGCATCCCATATTGGGGCCGGGTTCTAGTGCCAGCTGCTCCTCTTCCAGTCCAGCTTTCTCATGTGGCCCGGGAGGGCAGTGGAAGATGGCCCAAGTCCTTGGGCCCCTGCACGTTCATGGTAGACCAGGAAGAAGCACCTGGCTCCTGGCTTCAGATCGTGCAGCGCCAGCCGTAGAGGCCAATTGGGGGGTGAACCAACGGAAGAAAGACCTTTCTGTCGATCTCTCTCTCTCACTGTCTATAACTCTACCTGTCAAATAAAAAAATATAAAATTTTTCAGTTATGTACATTTTATGAGTGAACTACTTTTGACCAACACTCAGATATTCACTTATATCATTATTATATCTTGGTCTCAATGGCAGTTTTCAGATTTTGAATGTTTGATGAATCATGCAGAGGAAATGGAACTATCTGAATTTCGGGGCAACTCCTAGAAGGCTGCCAACCTCTTCCACCATTGAAGCTTTTTGACTCATGTTATGAAGAAACTAGTTTGTTTTCCACAGAAGCACCTCATCTCATGAAACGTTGCCTATTACATAATAAGCTGTTGCTTTAAAGATATTTGGACCACAAATTCACATGTTCAGCTAAGAGTCATCTTGAAAAGCCAGTCTTGCTAAGGAAACTCATGGGAGTTAGGAGGTCCAGCAACAGCAGAGAATGTGTGGGAATAAAACTCTTAGTGAACACTTAGCATAGCTTAGCTGTTTCTGTTTGTGATTGTCGTATGTTTATCATGCTTCAAAGCTCACTGTGACTGAGAGCCTTCTAATTGAAGCCTAGCTTTGAGCTAAGAATTGAAACCTGAGAAAGCAGCCACTGATGTCAGAAATTGTCCTTGTGTGCCAAGGCCTCTAATCAAGAGCCTGTTCTCAATCCTGTCACTTACAGCTGAGTGACCGAATATTTCACTTAACTACTCTACAAAAAGGGTTTTTCACAAACATGTGTAGCAGTTGCCCTACTGACCTCACAGGTTAATGGTTAAGAGCAAGTGAAAGAAATGTGTGTAAAATCACTTTGTATTGCAGAAGTAAAAGGTTTTCCAGAAAAAAAAACAAACAAACAAAAAAAAAAAAACGGTTCTACAAGTAACAGTATTCAGGGACTGTCTTCTTAGTGTTGTAATAAAGGAAGGGAAATTGGTCACGAACTGTTGAGACTTTCAAGTGTGGTAAGAAACAAAGCAAGAATTCACAAAACAGAAGTACTAAATTAAAAACTATTGACATGACATAAAAAACAAAACCAGTGGTCCATAAAAGATTGCTTGCAAAGAAAAGTATCCCCTTTTTTCTTACCTTGTGCTGAATGGTTGCTTAAAACGTTCCAAACTGTTAAATTAAGTCTCACACTTCATTAGATGAATGCTTGAAAATAATGAGCGATATAGAATCAAATATTGTCTTAAGCACACTTTTAAGCAAATTTGCGAGACATTCTGAGACACTAATAGTCTTGTGAAAGATGATGAGATCTGATGACTGTGCTTTACCTAATAGCCTTGATTTTATCTGATGAGGATCAGGATTTTAAATATACTGAGGGTATAGAGAAAGGTAATAGGAATTGATGCAGTGTGAGATGTTCTGTTAAAACACCGTTGGAAGAAAATTATGGACAAAGATATTGAACTCTTCATCCAAGCATATTTGAAGTTGGAATCATTTTTCAGTGGCTCTTTGTGTACCCCAGAAAAATGACTAAAATGAGAAGCTCAGTCTGCTCGCCCACTGGCCACCAGCTGGTCTCCTGACTGCCCCTTTGAAGCCTTTAGGTTCTCATGTCCTGTATTACCATGCCCTGCCCCCACCCTGTTTCTTCTCACTTCCTCAAAATCCAGTCCCCATTCTGCATCTGATTTCTGAACAGCAGACTCTTTAACACCAGGGGTGGTCCCAAAGCTCACACGCACCCCCAGTGATTCCATGATATTTTTCTAGCCCCACACTTACCAAAGGAAACAAAATATAGGTGAGTTTAATCTCAAGGCACCTCTATAGTGAAGTTCTCTACCACCCACAGTAGTCAGTCAATCCTTACTTGATCAAGCCAGGATCTTTCAGCTTTTCATCACACCACGGTAAGTGAAGCTTTATGTGCACTTTCTCACTGAATCATCACCAACAATCCTTGTGATAAGTATGACTGTTCCCAATTTTCAAATGCAGAAACCAAGGCTAATGGAGGTTAGATAGATAGCCAGCATTCAAGCCCAGACCTGAGCAGTCAGCGTCCCTGCTCTCAATTTCCATGCTATGCAGCCTGCTTGGACAGAGGTGTTCTTGTGAATGAAAGAGTAACCTTTCTTTAAAAAGTTTTAGAAGTTTGCTGACTAAAGCTCATTATCCAGCTTGTAACTGTTCTCTGCTTTCTTCCCAATGCACAGAGATATATACCAGAGATGGGAACTCCTTTGGGAGACCTTGTGAATTTCCATTCCTGGTTGATGGGAAATGGCATCATGAATGCATCGTTAGTAAAAATCATAGTGGGCCATGGTGTGCCACCACCTTAAATTATGAATATGATCAAAAGTGGGGTATCTGCTTAAAACCAGGTATGTATGGGCTGCAAACTATGTATAGCACAGAGAGAGTACTATATATGTGAGGCAAAAGGGAGAAGGAAGAGTTCAGGATGACTCAAAAGTTACTATAGCCAATACTATTCCTAGATAAGAAGCATAGGCTTGGAGAAAGAGCAGTAATGTGTAGTTACGTGTTTGCTTTCAGAATCAGGTCAGGAAGAAGAGACCTGAGACAGGCTATGTCGTGGAAGACAAAGGAGAGAGTGTGATGGGTGGCCCCAGTAGCTCAGAGAAGCGTGAGCAGTTGGGAGATTGCTGCTGACCTTTAGCCGAGCAATTTCAGAACATTAGTGTGAGTAGAAGCTGGGTTAAAGGGAACCCTGTATGAATCATGGAGAAGAAAAAGAGTGATGGTTAGCATGAGGGAAAATGGATTGCCAAAAAAGTTCTAGAAAAGTGGTGAAGAGTGTGCCGAGTGTGGAAGAGAATGGAGAAAGACAGGCCTGGCCTTCTCAGAATGAGTGCCGGTGTTTCCCCTCCATTCCTGTGTGTTAGTGCACTTTTTCTAGTGGCTTCTTACTAGAGGCAAACCACTCAGGTGGTGCTGAAGAACTCACTCTTCCTTAAAATGAGAGGTGAGACCAAGGCAGCTGTTGGATCATTATCTGGAAAGTAGCTGAGACAGTTTCTCCCCAATTAGGTGAGAGTTACAGGGAATCACAGACCTGACAGGTGATAGGTGCTTAAGAAGTATTGTTAAATGGGTAATAGGTTGAAAGACTTTGTAGCAATGATAAAATAAAGAGCTCCAAACCTATGTAACAGTAGTTAACACTTATATGGCCCTGCAAGATGACAGGTACTTTTCTAAGCTCTCAATGAGTGTTAATTCATTCAGTCATCACAGCAACCCCGTAAGATAGGTAACATAATTTATTTCCATTTTGTAGATGGGCATGGTGAGGCATAGGGGAGCTATATAAGCTGCCTAAGGTCACACAGCTAATAAATATCAGGAAATCCAGCTGTGAAGTTCTTTTCCTAAAGAGCTACACTATGCTGCCTCACTAAGTAGCCAGCCTGGTGGTATTCATAAACTCATCCTCCGTAAAGGAAACTGGGACTTTAAAATACAGATTGCTAAGCAACTTAAAGAGGTGATACTGGGCCAGTGGCTTTCTAACCCCAGAATTCCACAGAGTTCCCAGGACGGTTTGTTAGGATGTAGGGCCCATCTCCACACATTCTGAATCAGTAGATTTTGGGCAGGTAGGAGGAGGCATGAATTTACAGCAAGCTTTTAGGTAATTCTGATGCTGCTACTCTGGGGAACCATGTCTTGAGAAGTACTTACCTAGGCAGAGGTGTAGCTTTTTCAACACCTGGAACCTACTGAAATAGAAAAAGCCAGTATTTGCTTTAGCTGTAATTGATAACAAGCAGCATTTGATCAAGCAGGTACAACTGTGGTTTGTATCAGACGTCTCAGATGTAAAAAGGGGTTTAGAGGTTGTGCGGTACAAAGACCTATTTCTCAGGTGAGAGGCAGCAGGTGCAGGTTGATGGAATGACCTGTCAGGGCCAGAGCACATTCATGGCAGAAGCCGGTGGAGAACCAGAATTACTGATCTTCATTCCCCAGCGTATTTACCCAACTCTACCTTGCTGCCTAATTTGGGATTAGCCACCTTTGGGTAGTGAGATGTTATTGTATTAATGTTGACCCTAGAGGTAGCTTTTATGGAAGAAGCAAGATTGTGAGTTTTGGAAGCCTGACAACTGCTAACCCGTGAGGGTTGTGTTGCATAGCAAACACACTGCCATCCCACTGGAAGCTTCTGGATTTGCAAGTGTAGGGCCTCAGTAGTAATGATAAACCTTCAGGAAATGCCTGCAAATCTACCCTTTTTGTTTCCATCAAATGTCACCATCTCTGTTGTTATCTATGCCATAAAAAAGAGGCCATTCAGAAGACCAAGTCCAGGCTCAGAGATCAGTGATCTGATTATAACTCAGTCACAAACACCTCTAGATCTTTGTTCCCATCTCTAAAGGAGAGCAATAGACAAGGTGATTTCTAAAGACCTTTCCAGTTTATAGGCCCAAGAATCTAGCATTTGATATGTAACTGGTCATGGGAGGCCATTTGAAAAATCCCTGAGTATCCTGTGTTACCACACTTGACAGACTACATTGGTTTCTCCCCTCTTGTTAGGAGTACATGGGAGGCTCTGAGTTTACTTAAAAAAATAAGATTTATTTGTTTATTTGAAAGGCAGAGTTACAGCAGAGAAAGAGGAGAGACAAAGAAATATTCTATTCACTGGTTCACTTCCCAAATGGCCACAACAGCCAGAGGTGGGCCAGGCTGAAGCCGGGAGCTTCTTCTGGGTCTCCCACGTGGATGCAGGGTACTCTGCTTCTTTCCCAGGTGCATTAGCAGGGAGCTGGATTGGAAGTGGAGCAGCCAGGACTCAAAACAGCACCCATATGGAATGCCAGTGCTGCAGGCCATGGCTTTAACCTGCTGTAATACAGCACCAGCCCCTGAGTATACTTTTGAACTAGTTATCTAAACACCTCAACACCTATCTCATCCAGAAAATAACCTTAAGATTCTTTGGAATTATAGATGCTTTTATATAGCTGTTAAAGAATATAATGTGTACATTAAAGTACATACATGTTTGTAAACATATGCATATATAATGAATATATAATGTGAATTATATAATGTTGATTATATATCATAAGTTCAATCATCTGCTAAAATGTTAGAGAGAAACCTGGGCTTAGTTCCCCAAATTAGGTAATCCCTTGAGCTCTATGTCTTGGCCATTTCAGCAACATGTGTGCACACACATACCAGGCGTGGTTTCTCTGCCAGATCTAAGCAAACCCTCTGCAGTTGACCACTATGTTCAAGTTAGTTTGTTTTCCTCTGGCTCAGTGCTCAACGACCTGTGCATGTTGAGACTCCTACCTTCAGGCCAAGGACAGGCAGGACCATTGGTGAAAATATGATATTGTGGGGCCAGCATTGTGGCATAGCAGGTAAAGTCAGCACTTGTGACACCAGCATCCCATATGGGTACGGGTTCAGGTCCCAGCTGTTCCACTTCTGGTCCAGCTTCCTGCTAATATACCTGGGAAAGCAGCAGAAAATGGCCCAAGTATCTGAGCTCCAGCCACCGATGTGGGAGACCCAGATGAAGCTTCTGGCTTCTGGCTTCAGCCTCGCCCAGCCTTGGCTATTGCAGTCATTTGGGGAGTGAACCAGTGAATGGAAGATATATTCCTCTCTCTCTCTCTCCTATAACTCTGCTTTTCTAATAAATAAACCTTAAAAAAGAAAGAAAATACAACTTTGTAATTAATGAGGGTTAAAAGAAAAGCAAAAAATAAAGGGAAATGGAAGTTTTAACTAGACAGTGTCATTTGGTGTCCTCTGATTTCAATTTCATTGTGTAACCAAAGGAACAAAATGTAGGCTAAAGAGCAAGGGCAGCCTCCATTTTGGCATATCCTAAGTCTATGCACATTGAATTGCAGTACTTGTAAGCATTCAACGTAATAGAAACCATTATGCCCTTATTCTATGATCACTAACATATCTTTTTATCAACAGAAAATGGCTGTGAAAATAATTGGGAAAAGAATGAGAAGCTCGGAAGTTGCTATCAATTTAATACTCAGGAAACTCTTTCTTGGAAAGAGGCTTACGTCTCATGCCACAATCAAGGAGCTGACTTACTGAGCATCAACAATGCTGCTGAATTAACTTATCTCAAAGGTAGGTTTAGTTTGCATGCTGTCGGGCAAATTGCTGATATTGTAAAGATGTTGTGAAGGTGTGTTCCTGTTTTCATACCCGAGTATGTTATTTTGTGAAGCCCACAGGCAAGAGTACTTAATGTAATCATTTCTATCCATTGAAAATGCATCTTGTGGTAGAGAATAGAGAGAGAGAGAGGGATGTTCAGAAAATGAGGTAGGGTGGCAAGGTTAAACTGCTACCCTAATCCCAAGTGAAAGGACTTGGGGGAAGGTGCACCACATTAAGTTGTTTGAACATTGAAAAGTAGAGAATTCAAGGAAACTAAAGCAGATGGCTGAGTCATACCAGGCGGCCTCAGTCAAAAGTCCCCGCGCTGGAGTGGAGTGCAGTCCCCCGGAGCAAGGACAGTGTTAAGAAGTCTTAAAGTGGATCTAATAACAAGGACTTGTGGAATGCATAGGATTTTGTTTTGTTGGCAAGGTAGTAGTGATAATTTTAAATGTCTTAGTTATGAAATTTTAAATCACATAGGCGAAAAGAAAATAAAGAGACCATTTATTTTTTAATATGATTTTAAGGGACCACCCTTCAGTTCAGTGAAAATCACTATGGAGGCTTTGATTGGAATTGTATTGAATTATTATGTAATTAGGAAGATATTCCTGTCTCTACATTGTCTTCTCATCCTTGAAAATGATATGCCTTTCTACTTTTTTTAACAGTCTCTGGTGGAGAGCAGTGGTTCTTTTTTTCTTTTAAACATTTATTTATTTTGAGGCTGGTGCTATGGCGTAGTAGGTTAAGCCTCCACCTGCAGTGTCAGCATCCGCTATGGGCAGATCCTGGCTGCTCCACTTCTGATCCAGCACCCTGCTGATGGCCTGGGAAAGCAGTAGACGATGGCCCAAGTCCGCGGGCCCCTGCACTCACCTGGGAGACCCTGAAGAAGCTCCTGGCTCCTGGCTTCCAGTAGGCCCAGCTCTGGCTGTTAACAGCCATTTGGGGAGTGAATCAGTGGATAGAAGACTTCTCTCTGTCTGTTATAGAGGGAGGAGGAGAGACAGGGACAGAATCTTCCATCTACTGGGTAAGTCCCCAAATGGCCTCAACAGCTAGGGCTGAGCCATGCTGAAACTTTCTGGCCAGGGCTGGGCTGGAGCCTGAAGCTTCTTCTGGGTCCCTCACATGGGTGCAGGAGCCCAAGGACTTGGACCATCTACTGCTTTCCCAGGCCATCAGCAGGGAGCTGGATCAGAAGTGGAGCAGCTGGGTTGTGAACTGGCACCCATATGGGATGCCAGCACTGCAGGCGGAGGCTTAACCTGCTATGTCACAACGCCAGCCCTGACCTTTCTGTTTTTTAAGAACTTCTTTTATGTACTCAGTAAAATATATAACTTTTTCTATCAGTCTCACAGTCTTTAAAAAAACACTTGTACACAAGTGTTGACTTTTCTTTTTAATCAAGAGACCTGAGCTACCAGGACTCTGGTGGTTTGTTCTCTGAATGAAAAGCACTATTTCAAGGGGTATTTGAAGAGGTCACAGGAAATGTGTATTGTGAAAAAATTGTATGTGGATTTCATTTTTTGATCCAAAATAAAGTTACTTTTTGAAATACTGTCACAGTAATGATGTTGTTCCAGTTAGATTATTAAATGCTTTTCACTCACTAAGTTAATCTCATGTAACAACTCTATGTTGATCAAAGCTTACATAATCAGACCTCTAGAATAAGAATCTGTCAAAAGGCCAATGGGCTGGTATTTGGCAATAGAATTCTATTCTGGACCCTAAGGAAGCCTTATAGAAAATATTGTTCAGAATGAAAGCTCCAGTATATTGCAACCCTCTAGAATATTGACATTTGGAAAGTGATGACTACAGTGAAGTAAGTGTCAAAGTGCGACTGTTAACACCCTACTAAACAATCTAATGATTCCTTTTGGTTTTAAAGATTTTGTTTATTTGAGAGGCAGAGTTATAGACAGAGAGAGGGAGAGACAGAGAGAAAGGTCTTCCATCCACTGGATCACTCCCCAAATGGCCTCAATGACCAGAGTTGGGCTGATCCAAAGCCAGGAGCCCAGAGCTTCTTCTGAGTCTCCCATATGGGTGCAGGAGCTCAAGCACTTGGGCCATATTCTATTGCTTTCTCAGGCCATGGAGAGAGCTGGATCAGAAAAGGAGCAGCTGGGACTGAACCAGTACCCATATGGGATGCTGGTGCTGCAGGTAGAAGCATAGCTTACTATACCACAGCACTGGCCCCTTATGATGTCTTTAAGGGAATGCATGGTACATGATTCTTTATACATCAGTTTTCTTTAATAATTCGTAAAAGGGAAATATATTGTTAAGAATCTTATTTTTCCCCTATTCTGGGCCAGCCATTTCCCACAATTTATGCACATCAAAAATTTTAGAGGTTCTGTTTGTCTGTTTCTAATGTTCCAAGCTCCTCTTTCAATTTGGAAGTTGTTTAGGCATATCAATAGGCATAATTGCAAATTCTGTTTTCCCAAGACCCAAGAAAGCTATGAGTTAACATCTAAACTCAGAGTATCTAAATCTTTTTTTTTTTTTTTTGACAGGCAGATTTAGACAGAGAGAGAGAGACAGAGAGAAAGGTCTTCCTTTTTCCATTGGGTCACCCCCCAGATGGCCGCTATGGCTGTCACACTGTGCCAATCCAAAGCCAGGAGCCAGGTGGTTCCTCCTGGTCTCCCACGTGGGTGCAGGGCCCAAGCACTTGGGCTATCATCCACTGCCTTCTCGGGCCACAGTGAAGAGCTGGACTGGAAGAGGAGCAACCAGGACAGAATCTGGCGCCCCAACCGGGACTAGAACCTGGGGTGCTGGCAGTGAGCCGCAGCACCAGCCGAGTATCTAAATCTTGAACAGAAATTTCTATTCAATGTCCTTTAAAAAAAAAAGATTTATTTGTTTATTTGAAAGACAGAGTTACACAGAGAGGGAGAAACAGAGAGGGAGATCTTCCATCCACTGGTTTACCCCCCAATTGGCCGCAACAGGTGAAGCTGCACCGATCCAAAGCCAGGAGCTTCTCCAGGTCTCCCGTGTGGGTGCAGGGGCCCAAGGACTTGGGCCATCTTCTACTGCTTTCCCAGGCCACAGTAGAGAGCTAGATCAGAAGTGGAGCAGCCGAGACTTGAACCCATGCTCACATAGGATGCCAGCACAGCAGGCGATGGCTTTACCTGCTACACCACAGCGGCAGCTCCCATTCAGCATCCTTTTACTGAGAACTACCATATGTAAAATTGGGCCAGGTGTAGTGAGGCCAACAAGAGTGAATCAGACACAGATTTAATAGCCAAAGTATTTGATCTAGTTGGATAAACAAGGGTTGAACATAATATGGAGCACAAAGGAGAATATTATTTACAAAAAAAAATCTTTGGATTAGCTAGTTATTGATTGTGACTAGGGAATACTCTGCCATAAGTAAAAGCATACGAAACCTCCTTGAAAATAAGTCTCAAGTAGTCTAAACGAGCTTTGTTTTTTCCTTTCTGCCTACCTTGTACCTGCTTAGTTTTCTTTTTTCTTTTGTTTTTACTAATACAAGGGCCTAGAGATCTAGACTGGTATCTATGTAATCACTGGATTGTGTCTGGGAATCAACACAGGCTGTGGTCTTTCCAATCCATCTGAGACCTAAAAAGAGACTCAGCAATCTCCAGAGCAGAAACATCACATTTCCATTCTTCCGTATTCGCGTCTATCCTAAAAGATTATTCATTTGAATTCACTTTGACAAGTGTCCCAAAGTGAGGATGCTTCTGGAGTAGGGTCTCCACTGGCTTTGGCTTTTCCTAGACACATGACTGTTATCAGACCCTGTGGCTTCTCATTGTGGGAGCGGTATAGAAGCATAGGATCAGATCTGAACACTCCAGCAACGTCTTCCTCAGTGGACTCACTCTCTTGATTTAATTTGGGATTTTATGTTATCAATCATCTGTCTCTTGATAAAGATAAAATGTAAAGAAAAAAGTCTAGTTACAGATTGCCCATGGCATTTAAGAAATCTCTGTCCCTTATATTTACCAAGCAGGACTTCCATCCATTTCCCATTCATGTCTACCTGGCAAATACGCATAAGAAACATTCATATTTTCCAACAGTCACAATTTGTCTTATGATTCCAATGAAGTCTTCAATACAAGTCACAAAGAACACCAGAATGAAGCAAAACATGAGGAGTGTGAAAGCTACAGTTTATCCCATTATAAATGTGTACATGCAGTGCACAGTAGTGATAGGATTTTCAAAGGGATCAGAGGGATCAGTTGTTTCCTGCTGGAGGGGATCTGGAAGGGCTTCTTGGAAGGGATGGTATTGAATTGGGGAGGGATTGGAAAGATTTGTCCTCAGTACTACCTCCAGTGGAAATGAATCAAAAGAATTATGAATATCAGGGTATGGTTGAGTCTGGAGTGCCCAAAATATGTCATAGTTTCCAGGCTCACTTAGGGATGCCCGAAAATCATTTAAAGAAAAACTAACATTCAGTTAAATCTGCGAAGTCTTCGTCTATCAGTCCTGGCAGCCCTTGCTTATGTGTAGGAGATGAAAGAGAGGGATGAAGCCACAGTTGCCTTCGGCGCTCGCCTCACCCTTTCTTTCTCAGCATCTAGTGCCTTAGACAAGTGATGGGAACCCTGGTTTCTCATGCCCATACCTAACAAGTTTATCCTTATCATACCATCAATCCTAGTTTCTTCCTGGTTAGCTCTTTCTCCCAAGCTCTTTGTATCTATGTCAGCTGTTCTTCTCTTATATTTTCACCTACTCTTACTCCCCCCTCACTCTTCCACATCTGGCTATAAACTTGTTTAAATGCTACCATTAAAAAATAGACATAGGTGGGCCAGTGCTGTGGTGTAGAAAGTTGGCATCCCATATGGGTGCCGATTCCAATCCCGGCTGCTCCACTTCTGATCGAGCTCCCTGCTAATGTGGCTGGGAAAGCAGAGGGAGATAGCCCAGGTCCTTGGGTCCCTGCACCCATGTAGAGACCTGGAAGAAGCTCCTGGCTCCTGGTTTCAGCCTGGCCCATTTAGGGAGTGAACCAGTGGATGGGAGATCTCTCTTTCTCTCCTTCTCTGTATGGCTGCCTTTCAAATAAATAAATAAATAAATCTCTAAAAAAAGAAAATAGACGTAGGGATCGAGATTTGGCCCAGCAGTTACAATGCTGCTTTGGATGCCCGCGTCCCAGGCCAAAGTATCTGGGTTCAAATTCCACCTCGGGTATCACTTTCAGCTTCCTGCCAACATTGCATACTGGGAGACAGCCAGTGATGGCTCAAGTAATTTAGTTCCTGCTACCCATGTAGGAGACCTGGATTGAATTCTGTGCACTGCTCCATTGCAGGCATTTGGGGGAGTGAGCCAGCAGATGGGAGCTCGCTCGCTCTCTCTCCTTCTCCCTTTCCCTCTCTCTCTACCTCCCTACATCGCCCCTCTCCTTCCCTTCTTCCCTCCCTTCTACCCCACTACCTCACTCTCAACTACAACTTTTTTAATTAAAAACACATTTCCTGGATCCTGCAGCCCTACCTCTTTCTTTCACAGCCAAGCTCCTTTGCAGTTCTCTCCCAACTTCACATCTGCTGCTTAGTGGAGCAGTAATTACACCTCTGTTCCCACCATTCCCTTTCAAGACTCCTGCCCATCCTTTAAAAGTTGGTCTCCAAGTCGTGGCTTTTGGTTTTGTTACCGACAATGACCAAAAGAAACCAAATGGCACTCGAGGCTTTGGGAGCAAAGGCACGCAGTTGATTTACACATGCGGGTTCAATTAGACTTGTGCCCTCTTTCTTTCCCTACTTTTATATGCTAAATTTAGCAAGGCAGGAACGATGTAGTTTTGAGGCAGTTTCAGGGCAGTTTGGGGGATCACACTGTTACCTTACGCTCACAGGGATTAACAAATCACAACTGCAAGGTAAGATAGCTTTAAATATGGGAATGAGTGAATTGCAGCTTAAAGACAGTTTCAGGAGGCACGCAAGTATCTTATCTTAGGTATGAGACTGGGACTTTATGGCAGGTGTGTAACCAAACTGGTTTCTAAGTCAGTACTGATTTGCTTAGACCCAGCTGGCCCTTTGATAACAAACAGGAAGGAGTCTGTAGCATTCCCTTGAACCGGCTCCTTAATGACAAGCAGGAGGGCATCTGTAGCAGTTTCTCTGCTGCTGCTTTTTCCTCCACCCAGGAAAGCGCTTCCCTTCCATTCCCTGGGTTTCAGTTTTGGTGAAGTCAGCTGTTTTATGCATCTAGGTTCTAGAATATTCAGTAAGGCAAGGTTGTGTATAGCAGAATTACCCTTGAAAGCCGTTACAGTATGGACACAGTTTTTTGTTTACATACTACACCATTCATACACATAGGAATAGTTTTCTTCATAATACATGGTTTCCACAAACTTTTCGAAGACCTTTCCTGTGCCTGGATTTCAAAACTTTTTTATTGAAAATAAACTTATCTTTTAATCACATTTTCCTTGAACCTATTGAAAAATAATGCAATAGTATATAATTTGTAGGAAGGATTTAAGAAACTGTTATCAAGTGCTTTACTTCTGGGAGTTTTTCAACAGATTTATGAAGATTCCAACCTGTTAACTCTTCCTGTTTACCAGCATCAAAACTGTCCTTGGTAGATCATTTCACCAGTTGTTCTATCTCTTCTACCTGTCCCTTAATTATGTGTTTTTTTGTTTTTGTTTTTGTTTTGTTTTGTTTTGTTTTGACAGGCAGAGTGGACAGTGAGACAGAGACAGAGAGAAAGGTCTTCCTTTTCCGTTGGTTTACCCTACAATGGTCGCCACGGCCGGCGCACTGCGCTGATCCGAAGGCAGGAGCCAGGTGCTTCTCCTGGTCTCCCATGCGGGTGCAAAGCCCAAGGACTTGGGCCATCCTCCACTGCACTCCCTGGCCACAGCAGAGAGCTGGCCTGGAAGAGGGGCAACCGGGACAGAATCCAGCGCCCCAACAGGGACTAGAACCCGGTGTGCTGGCGCCGCAGGCAGAGGATTAGCCTATTGAGTCATGGCGTTGGCCCCTTAATTATGTTTTTAAAAGATTTACTTATTTATTTGAAAGGCAGAGTTACAGAGAGGCAGAGGCAGAGAGAGAGCGAGAGACAGAGAGGGAGGGAGAGAGAGAGGGGTCCTTCATCTGCTGGTTCACTCCCCAGAGGGCCACAATGGCTGGAGCTGTGCTTATCTGAAGCCAGGAGCCAGGAGCTTCTTCCAGGTCTCCCACGCAGGTGCAGGGACCCAAGGACTTGGGCCATCGTCTACTGCTTTCCCAGGCCACAGCAGGGAGCTGGATCAGAAGTGAAGCAGCTGGGACCAGAACCCGGCGCCTATATGGGATGCCAGCACTGCAGGCAGTGGCTTTCCCTTCTATACCACAGCTCAGGCTCAGGTCCCTTAATTAATTTTTCAAATTCTCCCTTTGTGGTGTTGATGAGGTCTTCCAGGTTCCTGTATATTGCTGTTGACTTCCTTTAAAAGTGTTAACATTTCTTAGAATCATTTGCACATTTTTTCATTATTTTTCCAATATACATGGACCTTTACAAGCATGATTGCATCTGTTTTTTGTGGGCATATGCACATTGAGTGACATATTGGCAATTGGTCTTGCTATTTAAATTATTTCTGCTTTTCTATCTTCCCATCTCTTTTTTGCTGATGAAATCCGGTTGTCAAATAATAAATTGGAATGATCCATCTCCACTGTAGCACTTGTATTTATGTGTGCCAGGGGAGGGGAGTCTCATTTTTTTGTTTTTAGCCTAAATGTTCCTTTGGACCCTAGAGCCACATATTCCCTTGCCTACAAAAACCAGCTCCTATACATTTTTCTGACCCAGTACCAGAAATACTGTACCATTCAGGGATCTGTATCTGTTTCTATTACATTGACATTCTCCTAAGGACAGGGACTTTGCCATTTTGGTTTTTATATCCCTAGTACCTGACAGATAATATGTGCTTTATGAATTTAAACTATCAGTCTGTCATACAATCAGGTCTTCAAAATCTATACATATACAATGGGAACTAATTTTGCTAAGTCTTCAAGATCAGTATAAGAGGTTAAAAATAGTGAAAGAACTTCACTGTGTTCTTGGCTTAGAAGAAAAGAAATTGGACAAGCCAGTAGGAAAGTAGAATTGAATTAACTTATCAGCCTTAGGGATTCTCCGTAGTCTGAAATTTGATGTCCATCAACGTCAGCTGCCTGTGTTGCATAGACAGTTGCCGAATGAGCTCCTGCCTTAAAGTCAAGCCCTTCAGGTTTTTGCTTTTGGTAGAAATCTAGGTTTGATTTAGATAGTAACAGATAATTTTGTCATTTTTTAAATTATGTGATTTTTCCAGAAAAAGAAGACATTGCTAGAGTTTTCTGGATTGGTTTAAATCAGCTGTACTCTGCTAGAGGCTGGGAATGGTCAGACCACAAGCCATTAAACTTCCTCAACTGGGACCCAGGTAACTGCTTCTTTTTCCACCTATTTTGCACAGAGCAAATGCTTCAAAAAACAAAATCTCCCACTTACTGAGAGTTTATAAAACTTGAAGTCTTTTTTTTTAAAAGATTTATTTTATTTATTTGAAAGACAGTTACAGAGAGAGGTAGAGAGCGAGAGAGAGGTCTTCCATCTGCTGGTTCACTCCCCAGATGGCTGCAATGGCCAGAGCTGTGCCAATCCGAAGCCAGGAGCCAGAAGCTTCCTCCAGGTGTCCTGTACGGGTGCAGGGGCCCAAAGTCTTGGGCCATCTTCTACGGCTTTCCCAGGCCACAGCAGAGAGCAGGATCAGAAAACGAGCAGGCAGGACTAGAACCAGTGCCCATATGGGTTGCCGGCACTTCAGGCCAGGGCTTTAACATGCTGCACCACAGCACCGGCCCAGCTTCAAGTCTTGACAACTATTCTTGTGGTTATTTCTCAGAAGAATGTTTTCTTAAGTCGTCCTTAATTTTGCTATGGTTACAGCCACCTGAAGCATTCCAAAGGCAACTAATCGTTTGTCCTTGACCTTTAGAGCAACCCTGCACTTTCAGCTAAGAGCAGAACGAGCCCCACTGCTTGGCCAGGAGCCAGCCTGTCCTGTAGGAGACTTGACACACCTATGATTTGCCCATGGTGTGTCTCATCTGCAGCTTAACCCTAATGCAGACATATTTCCACATTCTCAAACTCCAAGGTCTCCCCACTGTAGCACCCCCAAAATACTGACAACATAAGGGTTTTATTTTCTTACACAAATAAATACCTCAGGTAGATTTTATGGTGAATAAAACAAAATTTCTACTTAAATAAATGACTTTTTCACTAAAAGAAGGGATTAGGTAGCTTTTAAAAAATAAAACCTTATGCTTCGGACAGATGTAGAACCTAAAAGTTAACATTAACTTCAGTACAAAAATATTCTGTACACAGGAAAAACAAGTTATGTTCAATAAAATACTAGTTAGTAATTTTAGTTAATTAAATTTCTTCATTGATAAATTATTACTCTAATATTTCAGTGAATAGGATCTTTCAAGTTAATTTAATCTTTAAATCCTTAATGGCATTTCAGAATAATTAATTATTTTACTGTATAGAGTATCAGATTAACAGCTGCTTATCACAGGATATGACATGGATGTTGTCTAGGGGCAGAGGTTTGTTTTTTGTTGTTTAAATTAACTACAATATGAATATATCATAGTTCCCCCATATCCTGTATTTTTAGAAGAATTTAAGCACATTGTTGTCTATAAGGCTTTGCATTTCAACTTACTTAAAAGTTTAAACTATACTTTGAGTTCCCATCGAAGCAGAATTATGAATCTGAATTATTTTTTTGTAAATACCAACCTGGTCCTAACCTTATTCTTCAAACTGGAAATCCTTCCTCTCAAGACAAGCCCAGTGCACCTACATTAGGTGGGTCAAGCTGTGTGAAAATGGATGCTGAGTCCGGTCTGTGGCAGAGTTATTCCTGTGAGGTCCTACTACCCTACGTCTGCAAGAAACCATTGAATAACACCACGGAGTTAACAGGTATCTTTCTCATAACAAACAGATAAATCTTAATTAAATTCACAGTGTTCTAAGTCAAGTCAATCTATTTCGAATGTCTATTCCCGTCTTTCCTTTACCTGATATTACCAGTGCAGAACAGTCTTAACTTGTTGACCCCAGGACTAGGTATTAACAACTTCACCCAAATAAACCTTTGGCTGAGGCACTGAAGAATATTAGGTAAAAAATGCATATATGTCATATGAAGGCAGAGATGTTCTAGATAAGAAATACATTTCTATTCACTGGTATCTCTTTTTCCCCTAAAGTAGTTGTTTTCAATGTGTGATCCACAGAGCATGGCAGCACCTATACCTATAGAAATGCAGATTCTCTCATTTTGAGATTCAATGATTGTTCACAGCCCTTGTCTCCACTGTTGAACAGTTTTTTTTTTCTTCTTACTATCTGTTGAACTCTTTACTTAGTGTAGGATTAATCTTATGAGTATAAAGTTAACTGAAAATCGATCTTTGTAAAATTAAGAGTGAGAATAGGAGAGAGAAGAGGAAAAAAGGTGGGAGAGTGGGCAGGAGGGAGGGTAGGGTGGAAAGTATCACTATGTTCTTGAATCTGTATATAGGAAATACATGACATTTGTATACCTTAGATAAATTTTTTTAAAAAAAAGAAATGTAAATTCTCAAGACCTGCTCAGATTTCCTGTATCCTGAGCTCCAGGAATGGGCCTAGCAATCTGTGTTTCACAAAGCAATCTGTGTTTTCTGATACAGGTTCATATCTGAGAACCACTGCCATAGGGATAGGGCTATACATACTGTACGACTCTGTGATGATTTGAAAACTGTGGATGCAAATGTATTCCCAGCCCCACCCACCCACCCAACACCTGGCTATTCTGCACCCTTCCTTGTCAGGCTGGTTCTGTAGGTCTTTAAGTTGAACAATTAGGTAGGAAAGAAGTGCAGAACATTGTATGGACAAGGAGGAGGGTTTTCCCAAGAGCTTGGAGGTGAGAGCGCAAGCAGAGCTGAAGTTTTTGAGGAGCAGAGAAGTTTGAGGAGTTTTTTCAAGAACAGAGAAGAACAGGACTCAGACTGTCCAGGACAGAGCCTGAGGTATGCCTGGGATTCCAGTGAATCTCCATGGAATGAGAAACTGAGAGTGAAATCGGTGAATCTAAATGTCCTGCTCTAAAAAACTATAGAGGAAGAGAATAAAGCATCCAATTTTTTTATAATTCAAAAAAGGAGCATAAAGCAATTTTTAAAGAAAAAAATAGTTGTATGTAATAAAAAATGTAGAAGGATGTTTTAAAGTAATGGAGGAAGGAAACATTTATCTTCCAAGTTAATTCAAACCTAATTTAATCCATACAACAAAAGTCATAACATAAGAGACAGCACAAATGAAAATAAAATAGAGCGACTGCTGAAAGATTAAGTATATCTCTCACAGTACTGATTATTAAGTAAATCATGATGTTTCCACATGATTGAATAATATGCATTTATTAAAATAACTGTGCCAGCAGGAAAATACAAAGAACAGAACAAAATAATATGCCTACTTATCATTTTAATCTTGTGAAAATATGTATCCTAGAGTTAAGGACGAGAATATGAAAATGATTAAGTTTGATTATGTGTGATTTTCCCTCTGTTACTTTATCATACTTGTAAAATATGTCAGTAATAAAAAATGATTTCAGAGCTTTAAAGTTAATTGAGTTATCTTGCAGTTATGAACCTGGATTTTATCCTTTAGTAAAAAACAAACTTCCCAAATTTTTAAGAATTTGTGTTTGTTTTCATACAGTGGACTATCCAGCTGATTCTGAGCCAATGAATAACTAAACCACTTCTGGTTTGTTAACAAAAGTAGAAGTGTGTTGTGTGGTTTTACGCCTGACCCTTCCTGTAGACTAGAAAGATTGGACCTTCCCGTTGAGTTCATCATGGTCAAAATGAAGAATCTAATCTTATGATGTCTGTAGGTCTAGCAAGAGGGAATGAAGAGGAATCCCAGATGCCTTTTGGTCCTTTCCCTCTGAGCTGCCATCTCTTGGGTGTGATTGTATAAATGTCTGTTTTGTTCCTTAAATCTCTGCCTGTCATTTCTCAATAGTAGGCATTAATGCGCGTCTCCTTGCTAAGCTCACCACGGAACAAGAGGGTTGGCCTCATAATCTTCTCAAAGGCAGAGACTGGAGGGGAACCTAACAAATTGGATGCCCAGGAAAAGATTTGTCAGCAGCTGGTTCACTCTACACCTTCCTTTTCTCTGCGACGACCAGGGGCAATCTCTCCCTAGCTGGGGTCTGTGCCCAGCTGTGCAGCACATTTGCATCCCATTAAAGTCACATCAGTATCTGAATCCCTGCAGGATTCTTATGATGCCATGTATGCAGGAGGGACTACGTAGATTGATGTCGCTGTTGTATCTGGTAGCCCATTCCCCAGTGTTCCAGAAGGCTTATGATTCAAGAAAGAAAAATTTGCAATGTTATTGATTCAAAGTAAATATATCTTTACTGGAGTATAAATAGCCGCTTTTCTGGCAGATGTTTGGACATATTCAGATACCCGCTGTGATGCAGACTGGCTGCCAAATAATGGATTTTGCTATCTCCTGGTGAATGAAAGTGACTCCTGGGACAATGCGAGTACGGAATGCAAAGCCTCCGGTAGTGACCTCCTGAGCATTCATTCTTTAGCAGATGTGGAGGTGGTTGTCACAAAACTCCATCATGGAGGTAAGTTTTAAAATTTACACTATATATGAGGTTTAAGATATTGTAAAATGGTCCTATTTTCAGACTCTTGGTGGAATTGAAATTTGATCCAAAAATCAGCACTGTCCCTTAGGGTTTTCTGTGGTGCTGGAACTGCTCACCAGCCACATGTGCAATTGAAATGTAGCTAGGGCAACTGAGGCACTAGATTATCACTTTATTTGGTTTTAATTAATTTACATTTGTGTTTAAGTAGCCACATATGCCCAGTGGCTATTGACATGTTCTGTATTGGCAGTACAAGCAATGATCAAATAATCTCCTTGTTCTCATAAATTAAGTTCTTTAAGTTCCTCCAAAAACCTCAGTGATGATTTTACTTTTCTAATTATTTGGAAGCTAAAGACTGGTAAACAAAAATATACTAGACCGCAGTGTTATGACCTATTCCTTGGATTCACTAATAATAGTAGGTGCCTATTTTGTGCTGCCATGGTGCTAATGTTTCATTTGTGAAGGCAGCAGTGGATTGTATTTCTGTTCTAATTGGAACATCTATAGTTGTATTCATAGAATTCCCTAATTCCTTTAAAGCCAAGTTAATTTACACTAGATATCAAGAACACCACTCTACAAATCATAGTGTAACTGCTATAGCTGCATACTCTGCATAAGTGACTTGAAAAGCCTTCACTGCACAACCTGCCTGCTTTATCAACATTTTAGTAGGCTAATTAAGAATATCTTATAGACTTTTAAAACCACATCAGAATGTAAAAATGTACTTAGTGTGTCACTAAGTAAAACTAAACAAATGGGACATTTTTCTTTCAGATGCCAAAGAAGAAATATGGACAGGCCTGAAGAACATAAACATGCCAACTTTGTTTCAGTGGTCAGATGGTAGTGACGTGACTCTAACATATTGGGATGAGAATGAGCCAAATGTTCCCTACAATAAGACTCCCAATTGTGTTTCCTATTTAGGAAAGGTAGGAAACCTCCCTGGTTTATTTCTATTCTTATTGTAATACCTAATGATAATACTTCGATTGGGATATTTGTATATGAACAAGGAAAGAATATTAAGAACCTTGTATATGATCTTTATGGCATCTTCTGAAAAAAAAAAAAGTAAATTACAGCAGTTACTAAATAATCTGCTTCCTGCCTGAGCGCAGAGAATCCCTTTAGAACTGAGACCCTTGTGCCAAACTGGTCCTAATAACTTGTTTTCTCATAGGACCAGGGTCTGCATCCTGTTTCCTACCATTGGTGTGATATTTGTATGTAGCTATAATCTAACCTAAAAAAAATCCCATTTTATGGGGCTGGCTTTGTGGCACTGCAGGTTAAGTGGTTGCCTGCAATGCCAGCATCCCATATAAGCACTAGTTCAAGTTCCAGCTTCTCTCTACTTCTCATCTAGTGCCCTGCTAATGCACTTGGGAAAGCAGTTGGGTTCCTGGCTTCTGGCTTTGACCTGGCCCTGGCCCACCCCCAGTCTTTGTGGCCATTTGGGAGTGAACCAGTTCATGGAAGATGCCTTTGTCTCTGTCTCTGTTTCTGTCTTTCTGTAACTCTGCTCTTCACATAAATTTTTTCAAAAAAATCTTTATGAATTTATATTTAGATCAAGTTTATATTAATCCTACTATGAGAAGTGAAAAAAAATGTGTTTAAAATTAGATCTGAATTTGTTCAAAATGCCTAAACACTTATTGAACATGTTTTAAAACCAAAAAATAGGCAGTATCTTGATCAGGTTTGGCATATGTCTTTCTGTGTTTAATTTGTATCAATTTCCTGTGGGTAGTTGTCTCTTAATTGGTTGTGTGGGTGACTGTGTCACCCAGCCAACTGAAAAGACACAAGTGGGAGCAATACACAGCATACGTATTTAGAAGAATTTCCACGAAAAAGATGTGTTTAGAAAGGTATCACATTGGTGCTATATTTAAAAGAATGTGCAAAATGCTTTTTAAAAAAGAGTAGAAGAATGGAAATTAGGTGCTATGGGGAAGAGTGAACTAATGCCATACCTAAACAACATCCCGGTGCCCAGAACTGCCCCTTCTCATGCCTGACTTACTTAAATTTAACTGGAAGGAAACACAGTGATTCAGCCAGTTAAGCAAAATTAATGTTAAGCAGCATATTTGAAAGAAAACTTTCAAGTCTTGGCTGAGGTAGAGTTGAAAGAAAATTGTGGTCTAGAATTCATGGAGCACAGCTGTTCTACCATCCTCACTTTACATATGAGGAAACCAAGCCAAGGAGGGAGTTGACTTCCAATATTTTTAAACTGGTCATGTCATATGGAAGATTGGCATACTGGCTGAGTTCTTCCTTCAACGTCTTTACCCAGGGTCCTATGTTGTTTTTATTGTTGGTCTTACAAGAAAAATAAAATTCATCCACAGTGTGACCTTCAGGTGATACTGAGATAACAGGCTGTGAAACACAACCGTGCTGGCCTGTTTGCATTTTCTGAGAGTGTTTTCTCACAACCAGTTATTCACTATGTTCTCTTCCTCTCCTTCTTCCCAGCCCTCCCCCAGCCCCAGACCTTTCTCATAGTTTTTGTGAATTCAGTTCTAAATGTATGGCAAATAATTTCTTTTGTGAGCAAATATATTTGTCTATTTTAAAAGCTAGGTCAGTGGAAAGTCCAATCTTGTGAAAAGAAACTTAAATATGTATGCAAGAAAAAAGGAGAAAAAATAAATGATCCCAAGTCTGACAAGCTATGTCCTCCAGATGAGGTATGTAAACTCACTGTGTAAAATATCCTAAGCTGTATTGCACCTTCTTGGTTAGAAATGATAGTTGAAACTTAAACAACTTGGACCTCTGAAATAGAAGAAATCACTACCTGTTGTTCATTTACATGACAGCAAACCAGAAGGCAGTGAATCATAAGATATTGGCATGCATACTTGCAGAAGAAAATGTCAATGTTTCATGAATTTTTATACAAACAAATATGATTACTATCCATGATGCTGATTTTTTACTTCCTCTACTATTATTGTTCAAAAATAACTTAGCTTACATACTTTTATGATGAGCCAGACACTAATTTAATTGTCTTTAATTCATCCTCTGTGAGTCCACACATGTGATCAGGGTGGGAGGTGGAGGTTCCCACGCTCATCACATGTATGCATTCACTGGTCATAGCCTCAGTTTCCACAAGTTGTAAGATGTCATCAGTATAACCGAGACTTGCTTGTCAGAGAGGAACGTCATCAAGTCTGGAAAGCATTGTGACAGCATCTCTTCTCGGATTTAGGGCTGGAAGAGACATGGAGAAGCCTGTTACAAGATTTACAGCGATGAGGTCCCCTTTGGAAAGAACTGCAATCTGACTATCACCAGCAGGTGTGACCACTAGTAAACTCTTAACTCTCAGCTCTTTTGCGAAACAGTTTTCCTTGGAAAAAAGTTTATCTTCAAATTAATCCAAACATTGTAAAACATTTGTAAATTTGATTCTTCTTTTGTAGTTTTGAGCAAGAATTTCTAAATGATATGATGAAGAAGTATGATAAATCTCTAACAAAATACTTCTGGACTGGCCTGACAGATGTAGATTCACGTGGAGAGTATAGTTGGGCAACTGTTGGTGGAATAAAGCAGGCTGTAACATTTTCCAACTGGAATTTTCTTGAGCCGGGTGAGTGTCTTGGCCTTTAGTGTAGCAGAATGGAGTGGCTAGTGAATGTAGCATCCTTCCCAAAGGTATTCTTCACTTTTAAAATATGTAGGAAATGATCTTCAAGGATCTCTCTTTGGAACCAAAGGTAGAATCAGAGGCAATGTCTTCTCTACTAAATCCTTGGGAATAATCTGGTGAAAGAAGTTGGAAAATTTATTCCCCAAAGCTACCATCTAACAGCATGGAGCTACAATCACGAGTATGGGTTTTTTCTTCTTGATACATATGTCTCCAACAGAATCTAGCAGCTTTTTGTGATGCACTTTACATTTTCAACTCACTGCTTATCTTCTTTTTCCAAAATTAAGTATGTTTCTTGTCTTCTCAATGGTTAATAATTAAGCAACATATTATAGATAGTGTCTAATCTAAAAGTTAGTTCATCTTTCTCCAAAAATCCTAAAGCATCAGCCATGATTGTCTGTAGAATCAGGATATTTTTTTTAACTTTTATTTAATAAATATAAATTTTCAAAGTACAACTTTTGGATTACAGCAGCTTTTTCCCCCCATAACCTCCCTTCCAACTGCAACCATCCCATTTCCCACTCCCTCTCCCATCCCATTCACATCAAGATTCATTTTCAATTCTCTTTATATACAGGAGATTAATTTAGTATATACTAAGTAAAGATTTCAACAGTTTGCACCACACAGAAACACGAAGTATAAAGTATTGTTTGAGCACTGGTTATACCATTAATTCACATAGTACAACACATTAAGGACAGAGATCCTACATGAGGAGTAAGTGCACAGTGACTCCTGTTGTTGATTTAACAACTGACACTCTTATTTATGGCGTCAGTAATCATCCGAGGCTCTAGTCATGAGTTGCCAAGGCTATGGAAGCCTCTTGAGTTCGCCAGCTCCGATCTAATTTAGACAAGGTCATAGTCAAAGTGGAAGTTCTCTTCTCCCTTCAGAGAAAGGTACCTCCTTCTTTGATGGCCCGTTCTTAGAATCATAACATTTTGGCCAGAAAGGATATCAAAAGTCCTTTCTAATTTTGGGGTTGGGAAAATGGAAGCTTAGAACTGTGATTTACTTAACAAAGGTCATCTGTTTATTGAATTAATAAAATCAAGATCTTCTGATCTCCAAGCCAATAATTTTTAGAGGAGTTTGGCTTTGAATAAGACATCTGTTATAAAGCATCACACTTTCCTCCCCTTTGAATTATTTACATTTTTGTGTTTTTCTAATGTAATCATGAAAATATATTTTGTAACACATAAGTTGGAGTGTGTAAGCTCATAATTGAACCCAATATTTGAAATAATGCCCACAAAATTTGTAACACATGGTCATCACCACTCAGCATGAGTGGTATGGATTGTAACAGTTATCTTTTTACTTGCAGTAGAGAACACAGATGCTAATCTTGGTTAAATCTCATCTTAGATTAGAAATATTTTAATAGATAAATCACACAGATTTCTCTAATAGTCACTCAGATAACTTAGGGTAAATATCACACACTTATGGGTAAGCCTCAGTGATTGGAGGGATGATGAAGGAGTAGCAACCGTGGCTACCACTTCAGTTCTGTGATCCAGGCAACTGCCATTGAAGTGTCTTTACCATTATTACTCCCAGCATCAGCCAACTTGGTCTACATGGGCAAGCAAGTCATGAATAGGAGCATAGAACAAGGGAAACAACAGCACGCCTACCCAGGGTAGGGTGGCCTTAGTTTCCTTCATTCCTTGTTCTCCTTGCTGTCCACACATAAGACATATGGCTTCTGTGTTTGGTAGGGTAGAAGTTGTTCTCATTATTTTCCACTGTACATGACTCTTCTTGTCTCCTGTCTACTTCAGGCAGTGTGGCATAATGGAAAAGGAGCATGATTTTCTACAAAACAAATTCTAGTTCAAATCCCAACTCCATCACTCCCCAAGTATGAGCATGGGCAGCTCACTCAGTCTTCATCAGGAAAATGGATTGGATGGTACAAACCACCTTTTAATGTTGTAATGCATAAGTAAAATTGTAGGCATCATAAGATAAATAGTAAACAATATGTGTTATCACATATCACCTTCTGCCTTTATGGTACCAGCCCTACCTTTGGGTCTAAATCTAAGAGTTTTGCCTTGAAGTTTACTTTTAACAACTTCTGAACGTTGTTAGACTGACTTGAGCCCCTGTCCTGAGGAGTATAGTGGCTTAGGATGCTATACTAAGAAGCAGCCTACATGGATTCATAATCCTGGATCAACCATTTACTGATAGTGTGACCTAGGACAAGTCCCTGAATACTTATTGCACCTCAGTTGCAAAAGTAGAATCCACTCTATAACCTTGTTGTAAGGATTATTTAATTGAATCCTTTTAAAAATAGTCTCTGACAAGTTGCACACGCTTTTGTATATTACTCACCCTTATCATCATTATGATTATTCTGAATAGTATTTCTTTTTCTCCCTTTTCTCCATTTTGTTGTGTATTCTATCTGCCTGCCATGGCTCAGAGTAAAAACATGATTGAACTTTAATTTAACAATTTAATTTTTAATTAAACTTTCCAATTTAATCCCAGCTTCGCCAGGTGGGTGTGTAGCTATGTCTACTGGGAAGTCTCTTGGAAAGTGGGAGGTGAAGGACTGCAGAAACTTCAGAGCACTTTCAATCTGCAAGAAAATGAGTGGACCTGTTGAACCTGAGCAAATAGCTCCCAAGCCAAGCGACCCCTGTCCTGATGGCTGGCATAGTCTCACCTCCAGTCTTTCTTGCTATAAGGTAAAGTAACCTTGTCATTCACTACTTCAGCAAAGTTACCTTTCTACTCTCCTCGTTTCTGTCCTTGTACAGATTATGTTCTTCCTCATATATGTTTGTAACCTAACGTGTTGGAGCCCGGGTCCTTAATGGGCATGAACCTCAAGTGGCAGGTGGCTCAGTCCTACTCCCTGCACGATACTGTCTGAAACAGAAGCCAAAGCCAGAACAGAGTTATTTCTTTCTGGGAAGTCCAATAAGTGGCATGTCATGATGGTACTCATCTTGGAGCTCTCAGACACTTCTAATGCTTGTTGTCAGATTAAGAATCCCATCACTTCTTAGAACAAAAAAAAAGTTTATTTTCATATCTGTATCCATCAGATAGTCTCACAAACCATTAGATACTACCCCAAAATTCAATGGCAATGACAACAGTCTGCAGGTCAGTTGGGGTTTCACTAATCTAGTTCAGGCTTGAATGGTCAGCTATGCTGGGCACCAGGCCACGATGTGAGATCTGTTGCCATTCGATCAAGGGATGAAGTTGAGTGGTAGCTGCTATCAGAGGCTTGTTTTTCTTACAGTAAATCAGTGAAGGCCAAGAAGGTAAATGCAGCCACATAACCCTGTTTCAGACCTCTGTTCACTTTACAGCCACTGTTGTGCTGTTGGTCACAGCATAAGGCACATGATCACTTAGGCAGGCCCCATAGTGAGGTATAAAGGTGTGTATTCCACCCAGCAGGAGGCCAGGACAGTTATGATTACATCCCAGGAACTGAAGAAATGGGACCAGTGATCAGCTTACCATTATGTCATCTTCTCTTCCTGCACCTCCCCTTTTACCACCTTTGGCTTAAAATTAATCATCACAAACCAAAGAAACAGTCCAAAGTAGTAGGTTTTGTTTTGCTACCTTCTGCCCATGTTCATACACCAGAGCAAACTGCTCTTTCTCTTTATCGGAAAGTAGTTCTGTTCTTGTGTAGGTCTCAGTGGCTTATATTCAAAATTATACTGTTAGAATATTATCATACAGAACTGTCCCAAAATATTCATATGCATCGTCTTCCCTCCTAGTTCATTGCAAGTCCTAGGAACATAGGAAAACATGGTATCTTGTTGGAGCAATTCCCAGCCTGGCTGAGGAAGGTCATCCATCTGACAACAGTGGCTAGCACCTGTGTCAGCCTTTAATTGACATTTTAAGCAAGAATTAGCTGTGTCTCAGTACACATATGCACTTATTACACTTGTAAGAATGTATTTCAGGGATGCACACATTTAACTGTAATTTTCTTTTTTTAATTTAATTTTATTTATTTGAAAGACAGAGTTACACAGAGAAGGAGAAACAGAGAGAGGTCTTCCATCTACTTGTTCACTTCCCAAATGGCCGCAATGGCTGGAGCTGGGCTGATCCGAAGCCAGGAGTCCCCTCCAGGTTTACCACGCAGATGCAGGGGCTCAAGGTCTTGGGAAATTTTCTACTGTCTTCCTAGACCATAGCAGAGAGCCAGATCGGAAATGGAGCAGCAGGGACTCAATTGGCGCCCACATGGGTTGCCAGCACTGGAGGCTGGTGTTTTAACCCACTGCACCACAGCACCAGCTCCTGTAATTGTCTTTGAAACTATGAATACTTTAGGATTGTATCAGAAAACAAAATAACATTTTATTTTGTTCAGGTGTTCCATATAGAAAGAGTTGTGAGAAAGAGGAACTGGGAAGAAGCTGAAAGATTCTGCCAGGCACTGGGAGCACACCTCGCTAGCTTCAGTCATATGGATGAAATAACTGAGTTTCTTCATTTATTGATGGACCAGTTCAGGTAATACTTCTAGAATGAGAGCTTCTGTGCTAAATTTGATGTCCTCCATGTATTTAAAATGAACATTTTTTTTGTTATCTAGAAGGCCTTTCAGTGCTTAGCATTGTGTAACCTCATGCACTCCTATGTGCAAGACTCTGAAGGATCTGGAGAGTGAGATTCCATCCCCACCCTTTGTGTGTAACATGGTCCAATGGTGGGGATAAGAAGAGTGGGACCCAAAATCTAGAACGTAGTTAAGGAGGCGCCTTGGGAATTCAGAGGCGGGATGAAGTGTTTCTGGGAAGTGTAATCAGGGGAATACCATGAAAAAGGTGGATTCTTGGAAAGTAAATAATATGTTTAAAGGTGCACTAGGAGAAAGTACCAGAGAAAACGGAACATAGGTAAGGGCTCTGAGACCAGAATGCTCAAATATGGTAAAGGAGAAACGAATTTAGCTATAAATGGAATTTAGATCCAGAATTGGAATGTCCCTGCTTGCCAGGGAAGGAGTTTGATCACAAGTCAGGAAGCAGTCTTCTATGTGCAGGATACATTCCAAGACTCCCAGTGGATACCTGAAACTGCGGTAGTACATAAGCCTATATAGAATAGTTGTTCCTGTGTATATATACCTGTAATAAAGCTTTGTTTATAAGTAGGCCACAGTAGTATGTTAACAGCATAATAAAACAGAAACATTGTAATAATACACTGTGGTAACAGGGATGTGAATATGCTCTTCATCTTACACTGTCTTCCCCCTCTTGTGATGACATGATCGATTCAGCACCTGGGTGATGACGTGACGAGAGGTGAACGTCCTAGGCATTGTGATACAGCCTCAGGCATCTGTTGACCTTTCCATGATGTGTCAGACGGAAGATCAGCTGCTACATTTCAGAGCAGGACAGCCTAAGATAAATGCCATTCAGAATGGCATATAGTTTAAAATTTAGGAACTGTTAATCTCTGGGATTTTCCATTTAATTTTTTCAGACCACACTTCACCACTGAGACCATGGAAGTGAAACTGCAGATAAAGATGAACTACAAAAGACCCTTCAAAAAGTTCATGTAAAATAGAATTAAAAGATGAGTTCATTTTGGTGCAAAAAAAAAAATTGGAAACCCACACATAATACACATTTCCCATGAACTTTATGACGATTCCTCTGCATGAATGTCATTTTTTTGGCTCCAAAGTAAGCTTATGTTTTCATTCCATTTTACATGAACTTTTATAGACAGACAGGATTAGTAGGGACATGCAGGACAACTAACTTGAAAGATCTTAAAGCTGCCTTGGTGAAATACTACATTGAGGAGTGGCAGTAAGAATCGGAAAGTTAAGAAGTGGTCAGAGATGTTAGAGAAGTGACAGCCATTGAGACTTTGCTGTCAGGGTGCAAGGAGGCTCCCTGAACTATCTTCTGATGTTCTTAAAGACAATATGGAGAGATATGGGCCAGGCGTTGCAATCATAGGAGGAAAATCTCTCTGAAGCTCTAGGGACAATCAGAGCTGTGAGGAGCTTCAGTTATTTTTCTCTTCCCTCACTTTTCTGCACTGAAAATAAAACTCAAAGCTGTAAATCACAGATTCAAGGAAAAAAAGTCACAAAAGAACCACCACCTGAGAACATTCTAGTGAATCTTTCCCAGTCATTTTGAACCCAACAAAAACTTCAAAGAAGAACAAAACAATTTACAAAACATAAAGAAAATCTAACTATCTTTTTTTTCTCTGGGACATTTAAGGAGACATTGCAAAAGTTTGAGCTTGGAAATGTTTGCTATATTTTAATTTTAATACCCAATAAATTTCATTTGTGTTGAGATTAATTGATATAAGCTACCTATGTTTACATCAGTTTTCAAACATATATTGCAAGTTGTTGAGATTAATTGATATAAGCTACCTATGTTTACATCAGTTTTCAAACATATATTGCAAGTGAGAGATGGATTTAAAAAATCAGGAGGCCAACATCGTGTTATTTGTGATGCTGGTATCCTATATCAGAGCGCAGGTGCCAGTGCTGGCTGCTCTGCTTGTGATCCACCTTTTTACAAAAGAAGATGGCCCAAGAACTTGGGCCCTGGCCACTATGTGGAATGCCGGGATGGAGTTCCTAGATCCTGGCTTTGTCTGGCCCAGCCCTGGCTGCTGTGGCCATTTAGGGAATGAACCAGTGGATGGAAGATGGATCGCTTTCTCTCTCTTGCTCACACTCTTGCTCTCTTCCTTCCCTCATCTCTCGCTTTCTCTCTCTCTCTCTCTGCCTCTCAAATAAATAAATAAGCCAAGTCCTTTTTAAAACTTCAGAGCACTTGAATAGGTAGTCTATTAGAAATGAGTCGGAAATAAGTATATAACATGAAAACATAATCCCAAGTCTAAATAATTATAATATATATAATTATAAAAGTAGAACCTATCTTAAATCTTGAAAGAGAAATATAGGAATTTTTTAATAAAATCAGGGCCGGCGCCGCGGCTCAATAGGCTAATCCTCCGCCTAGCGGCGCCGGCACACCGGGTTCTAGTCCCAGTCGGGGCGCCGGATTCTGTCCCGGTTGCCCCTCTTCCAGGCCAGCCCTCTGCTGTGGCCAGGGAGTGCAGTGGAGGATGGCCCAGGTGCTTGGGCCCTGCACCCTATGGGAGACCAGGAAAAGCACCTGGCTCCTGGCTCCTGCCATCGGATCAGCGCGGTGCGCCGGCCGCAGCGCGCCGGCCGCGGCGGCCATTGGAGGGTGAACCAACGGCAAAGGAAGACCTTTCTCTCTGTCTCTCTCTCTCTCACTGTCCACTCTGCCTGTCAAAAAAAAAATAAATAAATAAATAAAATAAAATAAAATCAGGTGTTTAACTCATTTAAAAATAAAAATTGGGATGCAGAAATACAAAATAATTGCAAAAATAGAAATATTAAATAACTCTCATTTTGCCTGGAAACCAAATTTAACAATACAGATTGTATTTTTTTTTTTTTTTTGAGAGATAGAGAGACAGGAAGAGAAAGGCAGAAAGACAGAGAGCTTCCATCCATTGGTTCATTCCTCAAATTTCTGCAATAGCCGGAGCTAAGCAGGGCTGAGGCTAGGGGCTAGAGCCATTAGTCTGGAGTGAAATTCAGGTCTCCCACATAGGTGGCAGGAATGTAACTACTTAAGCCATCACTGCTGTCTCCCAGGATCTACATTGGTGGGAAGCTGTTGTTAAGAACTGGATCTAGGAGTTGAACCCAGGCACACAATTGTGGGTTACAAGCATTGTAATTACTAGGCTAAATGTCCCCTCCTTTATACATTTTTAAAATTTTGTGATAACATATAGAAGAATTGAAGAGAATATTTTTCATCTGTTGAATATGCAATGGATGAGGGAAAGTCCATATAGAAAATTATAAAGAAATAAAATAACAGGATGACTTTCAGCATAAAGCAAGTCATCAAAAGATCCATCTTATCTGTTATCACATTTTATTAAATCCAAGTCTACAAATTTTTTCAGTAATGAAATCCAACTGTATGCTGTTGAAAAGACTTACAAGTCTTGCCAGTTAGTACCTGTCCACCCCAAAAAGCATGATGTTTTCTCTCAAAGGAGATATTAGCCATGAAGTATTATAAAATTGAAAAATTTCAATAAAAATATATCTCTTTACAAATTACAATAACTAATAACATTTTCATGTTGCAGCAAATAAAGGTAGTGCTGGATAGCCGGTAGCCCACTCTCCAGTTTGCTGTGGTCACGAATTTACTACTTGACCTGTTTCACTTGCTCAAATTGCATACTTCTCCCATGTTAGCTCAAGCAGTAGTACCATGTGATCATCTTAATAGATGCTGAAAGTGCATCTGGTAAAATTCATTATTCATTTCTGACTAAACATATAAATATAGACTTGACATATGTAATGAATAGAAATAATATATAAATTCTTAAATTAAGAGTAAAAGGGCTGGTGCCGCAGCTCAATAGGCTAATCCTCCAACTGCGGCGCTGGCACCCTGGGTTCTAGTCCCATTCGGGGTGCCGGATTCTGTCCCAGTTGCCCCTCTTCCAGGCCAGCTCTCTGCTGTGGCCCGGGAGTGCTGTGGAGGATGGCCCAAGTGCTTGGGCCCTGCATGGGAGACCAGGAGAAGCACCTGGCTCCTGGCTTTGGATTAGCGAGTTTCCCCCGGCCGCAGCACGCCAGCCTCAGCAGCTATTGGAGGGTGAACCAACGGCAAAGGAAGACTTCTCTCTGTCTCTCTCTCTTACTGTCCACTCTGCCTGTCAAAAAAAAAAAAAAAAATTAAGAGTAAAAGAATAGGCCGGCGCCACGGCTCACTAGGCTAATCTTCCACCTGTGGAGCCGGCACCCCAGGTTCTAGTCCCGGTCGGAGCGCTGGATTCAGTCCCAGTTGCTCCTCTTCCAGTCTAGCTCTCTGCTGTGGCCCGGGAGTGCAGTGGAGGATGGCCCAAGTGCTTGGGCCCTGCACCCACATGGAAGACCGGGAGAAGCACCTGGTTCCTGGCTTCGGATCAGCGTGGTGCGCAGGCCGCAGCGCGGCGGCCACAGCGGCCATTGAGGGGTGAACCAATGGAAAAGGAAGACCTTTCTGTCTCTCTCTCTCACTGTCCACTCTGCCTGTCAAAAAAAAAATAAAATAAAAAACAAAAAGAGTAAAAGAATAGGTTAAACAATAGATTGTCATGCTTAATGATGAAGCATTAAAAGCACTTCCATGAAAGTCAGAAAAAATGTAAAGATCCCTATTGTCAATCACTATTGTTGATCTTTGGAATTTAGCCCCAGTGCATTACAATAAAAATAATACTATAAAGTGCAAGTGTTTATAATGTATTTACTATAGGCAAAGGCAGATTATAAATGGGTAAAAATATACTATTTACATTAAAATGTGACTGCAAAAATGCTTTAAAAAAGGTAGTGATTGTTACCTTTAAGAATTGAGTGATTAAAAAAAAGTTTAAATTTTCACATTTTCCAGATTACTTTAACA